GTAAAGAACTCCCGGGGTTCAAATACAGGCACGATATGGTTAAGGATGTTTTGTTTGACATATTTAAGCGTGCCGGGGTTTCCGCTAAGAAAGAGGCACCTGTTAATTTCTTGACTGACCCGACAGAAGGAAGGTCAACCCTCAGACCGGCTGACATTTTGATTTTTGGATGGGTCGGAGGGAAACACGCATGTGTGGATCTTACAGGGGTATCCCCTCTCGTGGGCCTGAGGGCGGGGGGTTTCACGGTGGGACATGCTGCTTTAAAAGCAGCTACAGGCAAAGTCACCAAACATGAGAAGTCGTGCATGGAAAATCAACACGTGTTCATACCATTTGCACTTGATACGTTTGGTTTCCTCGCACCGGATGCGGTAGAGCTTCTTAAAAGAGTAAAACGAATTATGCATAGTAATGTTATATCCCCTAGATCTTCGGATGTAGTCTTTAAAAGAATTAGCTTTACCATTCAAAAAGGCTTAGCGGCACAGTTTGTTGCCCGTTTGCCATCTCACTCATTGTACGATGACAATTAAAATGCTGTTCTAATGAGAATATCCCAATTTATTGAAGATAGGATGCTAAATTTTTAGTGATATTGTGCATACGCTTCCTATATGAGAGGCTGATAGAGGGCAATTTCGGAAGATACGATTATGGGGAGCGTACGAAAAAAAAAAAAAAACACAAAAGTACCCCAAGGAATGAAAACATCGCGTCTTGAGGGAATGGGATTTGCTTCAAGAATGGTTTTGTTTTCATTACCCTTTAATACGACATTTCGTTCCTTCCCTTATTCTTGCCTAACAAACAAAGGAGTAATTAAGCGCGATCTGCCGAAGAAATTCAGAAGCTAAAAAGCGAAAAGTCTAAAAAAACAAGAATGTGATATTACGTCTATAATATGAATATGATCATCTCTCGTATTTCTCTCTCGAAACCCTAGTTCAGCGATGATAACTGTAAGGCGTCTATTTCTGTGTTTGCTTGTTGTATCGGGTTTGGTCGTCGTTTTACTACATAGATATGCGACAAAAGTAGGTACTGATTACCGGTCGGAGTGGAACCCGTTGCGTCATAAGGTGAGAACTCAACTATGCTTTCTCATTTTTTTCAAGAGTTCATTACCCTTTGATTTGCTTTTATCTAATCTGTGATCTCGTTTGACCATGTAATTGAATATTTGGGCACTGTTTAAAAACAAAAATTCAAACCCTGGCTAAATTTATATGTTGCTCAGTTGGACACACGGAGATAGAGGAATAAGATGGCTGGACATTTCTGAATTTTCAGTTATTGAATAGTCAAAATTGGTTATAATAAAAATATAGTATAGTTGTCCTATCATATAGATTTTGTCAGAAGAAAAAATCAATTGGCATCTACAATACGATTGTTATCGGTTTATGTGTTAAATTGGTATTTTGTTTGAGCCTGGGAAGGACCAACGGATATCTTTGGGTGAGAAGATAGATGATCTCGTGGAGCTTTCTTATCCTATTAGTCAACAAGAAGCTGGTCTCATGGTGTCATGGGGATGGGTAAGTGGGATTTTTAAGTCATCATTTGTTATTGATATTGATAGGTCCTGGTTACAATCCCATCTTGTTAAGAGGTTAATTTTGACACTTTTGCTTGTATGTTCAGTACAAGACGTCTATGGGACAAGAAAGGGCCGATGCACTTGAGGAGATAAGGGAGACTTTATATGAGCGAGCGATGGTGGATTTCCATGTGCATATGATTGGTGTGCTTTTGTTTGGCTCCGTAAAAGCTTCCTCAATCCTCTATGCACCTGTACCACCGCGTATGATGGATGACTCTGAGTGTACCATATCCAGGGTAACTCTTATTTATTATTGTTATTAGATGTTTTTCAAATTCTTTTTTATTATATCAGATGCTAATGCTAATGGAAATAATGACATGCTTTCCGATTGCAGATAGAATTTTTTCACGACCACTGTGGGATGGTGGCCGACTATGGATCCAACATTAGTTTGGCTATTACAAACATATGCCATAGGCTCGTTGGGAAGGAAGAGTTTGAGGAAGCTTGTATAGATACCTGTGGTAACAAGAATATTATACCCACAGGTGACTAGATTATTATTTTTTTGATTCATGTTGCAAGGCTATCTGAGTACAACTACGCTATTAGAATTTTGCAAGTATATAAAGTAAATAGCAAATTAAACTTTTGGTTTTGTACCCATGAAATATGATGTGTTAGATGATAATGATTGGCTGATACCGTGACACGTTACAGGTGGAAAAACATAAATTAAGTTTGGTTACAATCTTCAAAATTTATATAACAAGCCGGACAAAAAGTATTTAGCCAAGTAAAGATGCTAATAGATAATCAATGTATGTTTTACTAGTAAACTAAAATTAATCCTTCACTTCTAGCAAAATAGACCAGTTTCATCGTTTGTAAAACATGACTGGATCCAAGATATTCACCACAATGTTGATATATTACTATTCGTAAAACAAGAGTCAAAATAGAAACATTTTA